GATAGATAGAATTAGGTTATTACTAAGCTAATTTCTCTAAAACCAGAAATGATTTTGATTATTTTTAATGGTTAAGTCTTAAAACCTAATAAAACCTTTCTTTTTTGTTTATTCTTCGTAGTTTTAATTTTTTTAAAAAAGTACTTTAAATTGTATAAATAATATAATATGGGAGTCAAACTGAGTTCGGGCAAGTAGGATAGCATCCCTAATTACGTAGCCATACTCCACAAATTGACCAAAATTTAGTATTAAAATTAACTATATCCAGGTCAGCACTATGTAAAAATATCAATCAACTGTAAATGAGCAAGAAAAAAACCTGTTAGACATTTATCCTCTAAAAAATTGTAATTAATTATAGAAATAATCTACTTGTCGCCAGCGGTGACGGTACCGGATTTTATTTAAAGCTATATTTAGGGTCAGAAAGTGTCATAATATATAGTAAAATTATGCAAGGAATATTTTTTGTTAAGGCACAGAAGTTGGTTTCATAGCATAATTTTGAGTTATTTTGATTTGAAATTTTGAGGTTTTTTGAATCGTGCAATCTGATTGGCTGGGTCTGTCACCGTCGGCGACAAATTAATTCGCCCTTAATTATATACAACCAATAATCTAATCGTCTCAGTAATATAAAATATCGATACCTAATACTTTTAAAATTGTAAATGTTTAAACAATCTAATTGGCTAATTTTAGGACCCATGATCTTGATCCTTTTTGTGTAACAAAGACAATTTGCCGATAACTATTGCTATTAAGTTTTTAGTGGATGCTTACTCGAATTTACCATACTATCATTACATTTTATTCATGATAACTTTGCATGAATATAAAGAACATTTATATTAATCTAAGTATAGGATTTATTTTTTTATTTTGTTTTTTTTTATATCCAACACTAAATTAATGCATTTTCTTCAAATTTGTGTTAGCATGGATTCTTAATTCGGTAATACTTTGATTTCTGGAAATATCCAATATCATTTGTTCTGCTAGCATTCTCTGTATCCTTTTGAACTCCAATTCTATTTTCATAATAATATCTCATATTATATATTCCTTTAACATGCACCATTTTAGCTGATCTATGATTTCCTTCTTAATTCCATTTCCATTTCCATAATGATATCTAATATCTAACATCATAATTTTTTCCACCAGCATTATTCACTTTTGTAGATTTTTGATAATAAATAAATATCTTATAATCATCTTTTTGACAGAAATTCTGTGAAGATAACAATATCTTACATTATATGATCCGTCAGCATTACTCATCAACACCAATTCTACGAAGATACCAATATCCAACATTATATAAGTCATCAACGTCACCTATCTTTTTAAATGCCAATTCTATGAAGATAACAATATTCAACATTATATGATCCATCAGTGTTACCCATTCTTTTCAACATCCACAAAGATAGTAATATCTAGTAATATCATTACATAATGGATGCTTTATATTCATCGTTTTCAATTCCAGATAATACACTCTAATATTATATGTCTTCTAAGCATCTCATCGCTGCTAATTTTTAATAATAAATTTATGCCTTATGTTAATTAATTCTTTTTACTGGTAGTAACCTTTTATTTATTGACTTGAATGAAATCGGGATTCATTTTTTAGCCAATTAGATTTTTAAAGACCAGGTTATTGTATGAAATTGCGATAGTCATTATAGCCATTGTTATATGTCCAAGCAAATCATTGGGCATGGACAGTCTATGAACGGTCAATGTTCAATGTCCAATGTTTATAGTTTGGACATGGACATATCTTTTAAATACCATGGACAGTCCACATCCATATCTATGTCCATTGGCAACACTAATTATAGCCATATACAGAGCGCATTATACTATTAAACCAAATAGTCATATGAATAGCTTTGATTCCACAACAACTTACTCTTATAATTACTGTAGCACAAACGCAAAACGTGCCCTGATGCTACGTAGTGTTATACTAAAAACACTAATCGATTAACCAATTTTACTGTCACATGATTTTCTGACATCTATTAGCCAATCAAAAATCAGGGTTAAATGTAATGTAACAAATTTCAAAACCAACGCTCGCCTTGCAAAAATCTCATTTATCCCAAAATTTAGTCTAGTAAACCATCTTTAGAGCTCTAACAAAAATTACATTGTACGCGCATGGACATTATTTTGAAACAAATATAAAATTATATATAAAAAGTAAATAAATAAAAATGCTCCTCGGTGCTAAGTAAATCTACTTTCGAGTGCAATTTTGCTAATAATATGATTCTTTTAAGCTTGATCTAAACTTTAACCAAATATAAACGAAGATTTTTAGCCCAACAACATTTGTTTTTACGCCCTGTAAAATTCATAAATCTTTACAGTATTTACAGATTTTCTTTCGACAGATTACTACACGAACTACCACTCCAGTAATAAAAAAATAATTTTAAAAAAATTCTCCAATTCCAGTCTATTTCAACCTTAAATTCAAACTGATCTATTAAATCTTAATTACGTAACTAATCAATTACATAGTATTTAATTCAAAAAAATAAATACTGTATTTGACAATCACAATCAAGGTTTTTAAACCATTCACTTCGCAATTAAATTTAGGTTATCCATATTAATATAAATTGAACAAAAAAAATGTAATACCATGTACTTAATACCGCCTACGCTTAAATTTGAATGTTTCACATAAATCTATACTGTAATATCAATTTTTCTACAAACAATTTCAAATGCTCACATCAAAATATCAAAGATAGACATACCCGTATCAAATTATGGATGTCGATTAACAAATATTTAAACTTAATAATGTTAACAAAACATCCAAAATTGATTGAAATTGATTGAAAAACTATAATAACAAACCCACAAAAAAATCCAAAAAAAATCCAAAAACAATAAAGATTCAAAATAAAATTGGTCAAATTTTAACCAATTTCAAATAAGTTGTACAATAATAATTTATTTAAAGTAAAAATTTACCAATAATTTAATTTACTAACTTAATCTCAAAAATAACTATATATCAAGAAACACAAAAAATCAGCAACTATAAGATTTTTTATACACATTATTTTATTTATAACATATAATAAGAACATTAGTAAAATACTTACATAAATAACTAATTGCTAATACAATAGTCTAGATTATTGGTCATTTTATATGATCATGTGAAATTTTTGCCTTGATATTTTTGTCACAAATGACGTCATCATTTGTCAAAATATCCGGGAAAAAACATCACACTGTACTGTCATAAAATATAATACAAACAATAATATCGACATTATATAACCAATATCTTATAAAAAAATTAATTCTAGAGTACATATTTTCTATATATTAGTTTTCCATCAACATTAATTTAATCTAAGACACAATTATTTGTTAACCAAATATTAAACAAACTCCAATTCAATTCCTTATCAACATTACTTTTAGAAACATTAAATACAAGCCACAAATTCCTAAATAACTCTAATTACTTTAAACTAGCGTGAAAATTAAATAATTCAAATCACCAAAAACATAACATCTACTAATTTATTAAATAAATTTTCACATTAAAACCAGTATTCGTAAAATCAACTTATGAACAGAAAACTATACAACAATAAACTTAAATTACTATAATTCTAGGAAAAAAGATACTGTTAGATATCCGGAGCTTAGTTAAAAATAAACGTAAATATATTGGTTAATATAGTTAATAAATTGATGATCATCAATCTAAAAATAGGTGCGCACAAGATCACACACCATTGATTGTCCTCCGCTACTCTCTGGACAATTAACCAACGCATAAACACACTTTAAATATACAAACCTATAAATTCACTCAAAGTCTTAAAACTTTCGTGGCGAAGTCACGGGTCACGCACTAGTATGTTATATTCTTGACAATATCAAAAAAGGAAGTCTTAAATATATTAAAAATTGAATTTTGGTTACAACTGTACTACGTACCCCTTTAATGATATCTCAAAATATAAAACAGCAAAAAAAAATTGTCTAAATCGGGTATAACAATGCAATGTACTTAGCATCGGTAATATCCGTAAATAATCAAAACAAACCTCAAGTTAATTTTCATTGTTTATTAATATAAGACCTACTGCAAGAATGAAGCACGACATCCTTTAATCATTTCATCTTTGATTAACCAAAGAATATTCAAGATTCTCTTTTTTTCACTAAAAAATGGATTTATGGATCATCTTACTAGTCGTTTTTATCCTATTTATAATATATCATTATCTAAATCCTAAAGCTCCAGATGGTCTTAAAGATGTTCATACGGTTACAACTTTCAGCTCATTAAAAGCCGCATTTACAAATAATATAGGTTCTGATAAGTTTTATTTAATGAATCAGAATTATCTTGATAACGATGGTCTTATAAAGGTAATGTTTTATTTTGTTAAAAAAGACATACATTAATTTAATTTTAAAAAAAACTATCTACTATATTATTATGTAGTTTCAAATTAGGGGAAAGTGGTTTTGCCTAATATCAGATCCAGTTTTTGCAAAAGATATATTTTTACGACCTGGTATGCGATCTACTTACTAATCGATATTAACTTAGCTTATTCAAATTTTAATTTGAGAACGCTTTAAATTGGTTCATAGACGTTTTTCCAAAACTTTCTTATGAGGAATTTTTACCAAATTCTGCACTTGCGCGTTATTACGGCATTAATGTTGTTCATTCAAATGGTGATGTAAGCATAATTAAAACATTTTTATGTTAATTATTTATGTATTTTGAACTTTTTTCTGACTAATTTGCACCTTTTAGGTTTGGAAACGACAGAGGTGTTTTATTTTATATACATATGTATCAGCAACCTAAAACATTATTTTGTTTCTTGAATTATATATAAATAATTTTTATTTTTCTTAGACGTATATGTAATCTCGCATTTAAGGTTTTGCCTGTACATTTATTCGTTGAAACAGGATTCAAATTGATGAATACCTTAGAACAAATTGATAATAAGCCTATTGAAGTTGTGGATCTTATGCATAGGTAATAAGCAAAATAACACTAAAGATATATCATTTTATATATGTTAAATATTTTAATTTTAATTTTTTTTTTAGATTTACCTTGGATGTTCTTGGAAAAACTGTCTTTGATTTTGACTTTAATGTATATACAACCAATTTTTTTTTTGTGTAAATATTTAATAAATCACTTATTAATTCTAAATGTTCTTTGAATTAGAATCTTGGAGATCCAACCAATGACTATGTAACAGCATATAGTGAAGTTCAGGATGAACTTAAAAGTATGATATTTACACTTCTTCCATTAGATCGCATTCCGTATTTTAGGAATAAACGTATTAGTAAGGTTGAGAGATTGGAAAAATTGTTTGATGAAATGATTGAAAAGAAACATAAATCTATAGCCGCTGGAAGATCTAATGGTGACCTTTTAGAACTTATGATAAAGGCTTGCAATGATCAAGATAATCCAAGATTAACTGATATTGAATTAAGAGTATGATGAAAATTTATATAAAATTGTAGATAACATAATAATGAATTTTAACTAACTTAGCGTCATTCGATCATAATATATCATAATAGCATAATTTGTCAATTTTTATGGTGGCAGGTCATGACACAAGTAGGTGACATCACATTAATTTTAAACGTGCACTTTATTTTATAATTAATTCCATAATTTATTTTATAATTTGTTGTGAATTAAGCTGCAACTGCCTTGGCAACACTTTTATATTTTTTGTCAGTTCATAAAGTATAAATGCTTTCATTTATCTTGGTAAAGGTCTTTTATTTTTATTTAATACAATGCCCTATACTTTTTATTTATCTAGAATGTTCAACAAAAAGCTCGGGAGGAAGTTTTGAGAATACTTGGCGATAATTTAATTCCCTCAGCAGAACAACATAAATCGTTGAAGTACTTGAACATGATCATTCATGAAAATCTTAGATTATATCCTCCAGTTAGTATTTTGTATTTTTTATAAGTAATTATAGTATCATATCAGATATATATGCGTATATTGATATATAACGTAAACCGATTATTTAATAACACCAGGCACCAATGTTACCATTTCGCAAAGTTACAGAAGATTTAAAATATAAAAATTATGTAATTCCGGCAGACACAGGTCTTGCACTCTTTGTATATGGAATGCAACATTCACCAAAGTTGTGGGAAAATCCTGAAGAATTTATACCCGAGAGATTTGAAAATGAACATCTTGCAAGTGGAAATTATTCTTGGGCAGCCTTTGGTGGTGGATCCAGAATGTTTGTTATTTTTTTATTGTGATTTAGTCTATGAATAACAATATGCGTAACACGAATTTAAAGAAAAAATATTTTTAAAAAATTAATACTGTAGGTGTTTAGGAAATAACTTTTCACTTATTGAACAAAGAATTGCGTTATGCTTGATATGTAAGTATTTTAATTAATATTAAGCTTAAATTTTTACATCTACTTAATGTATTCTAAAATACTTTTAATAGTGCGTAAATATGAGATATTATTGCCATCAAATAGTATACACAAAGAAAAACTGCAAGAAAAAACTTATGGAACGCTACGACCAATGGAACTTATATTTAAAAGAAGAGCTGAATAATTAGCTCACATAGCGAATTTATCTTTTACTATGCCATATACTCCTTTATACTACTTTGTAAAACTTTTTATTATTACTTAATAACAAGTAAAATTTTAACGATGAGATTCGTCATTTAATTGATTGAATGATAATAGAAACGTAACTCTTGCTATAATAAACCTTGTTAAAATATTATCTAACACTCCGTTCCTGGTAAAGGGTTTCCTAAAGTTAAAAGTTAATGTAAGAGACACTGATACTAGTGTGCATATAAAATTTATTTTACACGTTTTAGTCAAAAAGGATTGTGGCTGAACACGGATACATTTATGACCAATACAATTCATCGTATATGAACAAATATAAATATATAGAAACGATCTCAAAAAAAAATTCACAAATGTAAGAGTCAACACCAAAATTATCTATTTAAGCGCTGATTAAAAATAGTTTCAATTACAATTGTAATTTACGATAATAAACTAATGTAACCGTTGAATGGAAGAGCTAATAAAATATTATAAAAAGATGCCAATCTAACTCCAACGGTGTACGGAGAATAAGGCTAACTTGAAGTAAACAAAAGAGGTGTTAAAGAACTAAGAGGGCGATAGGGTACTATAGAATAATACTTGATATCAGGAAATGATAATAATGGGCGATGCAATGATGGGTGATGCCGTTAAGGGTGATATCAAAGAGGTAATCTTAAGGATGGTGATGTGTAAGCGGACGATGATACCAGTGATAACTTTAAGTTCACGTGATGGATTAACTAAATCGGTACGTACGTACGTAAGTCGCGTTCAGGTCACAGGGGTAAATGGCAATATTTGATTCCACAAGTACACCAGAATTCGAGTCTTAATAAGCCAAATAGAAGTTACAAGTCAATTCAGTCCGTCGAATTGAGTCTCGGAAGGGTTATTAAAGTTACAAGTCGAATTTAATAAATAATTTACAAGTGAAAATTCAGACAAGTATATACACTTTTATTATTTATCAGTGAGTGAAAGTGGACCATCCTCATTCTTTATTGAATTTCAGGGCACTTATATACATTTTATTTTGTTGGAGCGTTTACGCTCTTTTTTGAACGTATACGCTCTAATTTGAGCGTGTACACTCTTTTTTAAACGTATACACTCTTTTTTGAATGTATACGCTCATGGCACAGGGATCAACAAATTTTGTGTAAGCACGTATACGCGATTTTTTGAGCGTATACGCGCTTGCATAGAATAAGCAACCAAGCCACTATCAACTACCATTTTAGTATACTTAACTAGCATATATTGCTCTATTCAGAGCTCCATTTGTTCCATTCGCAGTCCGATTATGCTCCATTGAATTCAATTGCAGACCCTGCCAGATAACGTATGCCTTTAATTTGTACCAGGCTGTTGACGCATTAATCAGCCAAAGTATTTTGCAGCATTTAAAAAGTTTTAAAAATTCAAGTACGAACTACAATAATAAGTTTACAAATTTTAAAATTTTAATAACCAAAAACATCGTTTTTCAGAATTATTTATACTAACATTCATTTATTTTCTATTGAAATTTCTAAGTAGCACTATATTAAAATTTATAATATACATTTCTAAAACTTGTTTACAGTCAAATCTCCCTAAGCGCGACCCTTGGAACACACTTTGACAAGTGTATTCAAAGAATAATAAGAAAAGGTGCGTTTATAGAAAACAAATATATATTTGGTCAGAATTTGAGAAGGATGTGCACTTATAGAGGGTGCACTTAGACATGGATGGTAAATGTCCTGGTCTTTGATCAAAATTTAAATGACCCCAAGTCATCAAATAATGACCTGTCATTTGGTCATTTGAGTCATTTGCGCCTAAAATTTTAATAACTAAAAAAGTTATTCGATAATTGTAGATCCATATACAGTTATATAAAACTTTCTATGCTAGTCATAATTTACAATTTGTTTAAGTTGTTCAGAATAATAAATGCACATAATTTGAATAACTTTTTATTAATTCTCTTCTGCATTTTACACATTTGAATAAGAAAATTCTTAATCTTCCATAAATTCGAAAGTAAATTAATAACACCTTATTCAAATTACATGAACTTTTTAAGTATATGCATTTTGTTATTTTGAAGCTTTACTTAAATAAAGCATAAATATTGACTAACTTAATAAAATTTGACTTTCAAGAGTTAAAGATTATAATGTTTTATCTATAAAATTTTGATTTATCCCATAATCAACTTTGATTGGTAAAAAGTACTAGAATATCAAATAACATATGTTAAATGCCATTCTCGGTAGTTTGGGCATTCGAAATGACCAATGATTAGTTATTTGTCATTTGAGTCACCAGATCATTTCAAGTAATTTATCATCCCTGCACTTAGAAAAGTCTGACTGTAATTAAATCTTATATTAGGAATAAAATCCCAAAAGTAAGTTTTATAATAAATATAAAATACCTTAATTATAATATCTGTTACAAGTTATACACTCTCAATATGGAATACATCCTTTAATATTGTTATTTATAAAAAAAACTAAGTTGTTACCGATATTATCAATACAGATCTCTTTGCTTTTTTACGCTATTGATTAATCCTAAAATTTTCAATCTCTGAAACGATTTCTTTAATATTAATAAGTTTAGAAATATACATCATATTATCATGTTTTTGTGTAGGAATCGGCAATTCTGTGATTGATTTATCAGCTTCTAAAAATTGCTTCTTGATCTTTTCATCTGAATCAATATATTGGTTATCTAAATTAACATTACTTTCATTGTCTATAATTGTATTCCATTTTTTAAGTTTATTAAAAATCCTAACAGCCTTAGATCTTTTTTTCATATCTGATTTAACTTTACTATTATTGGCGGCTATGATGTTTTTCCATTTTTTAAGCTTACAAAGAATCTCAACAGCTGTAGGTCTTTTCTTTATATCTGAGCTAATACATTGTTTGACTAATGTAATATAACAATCTGGAATCCTTATAATAAATTCAGGACGTAATCCATGACAAATCATCGCTGCTAATTCAGCATCAAAATTGTAACCATCGAAAGGTCTTTGACCACTTAATATTTCTATCATGATAATTCCAAAACTGTAAATATCAGCTGCTTGGGTAAAGTGGTCACCTTTCAAGACCTCAGGTGCTAAATATGGTAACACTACATAAATTTGACCATCCTGTTTTTCATCAGACGATATTGATGTATCTAAATTAATATTAGCTTCATGTTGTTCTTTTAGTAAAATATTACCAGAATGTAAATCTCGGTGCATAAAGTTTTTAGAATGTATATTTGATAGATCATAAATTATATCGCATAATATTTTTAGTTTAATTTTCCACTCCAATTTAAATATATCTTTAAGATTTTCATGTAATGATCCTAATTTTGCATCATTTAACACTAAACTAAAATTTTCCGTATTTTTATTCATTAATATGCCATAGTATTCACCAATTTCGTGATGCGCTTTTATCTAGAAGTAAACAATTGTATTTTATTAATTCATAAATAATATAAATTTACGCGTGAAAAAAAAATAAAATAAAATAAAATACCTCGTCTAAAAAGTCTTTTTTATTTTTATGCGAATCTTTAATGATTTTGATTTCAACTTCTTCAAATGTTCCATACGCTGTTTTATACACTACGGAAAACCTACCTTTACCTACATCTTCAATATTTCTAAAATCATCGTATTTTATCCATTGGAAATAGTTTTCATGGATAGTACAGTCGTGTCCAGCAATAGCAGATTTTAAATACCATTCAAAAGCCAAATCTTTATTCTTTTCCACACCAATTCCT